GAGCTACGCTACTAAATTTTGTAGATAGTGTTCGTAATTCGTTTAGAGCGCTCGAAATGATGAATGTGCCAGTAAAACAATGGGATGCTATAGCCGGTTGTTACCCGAACCGAGTGGGGAATGAGTCTAAAATCTAATGACATCCCGAAGATGGAAGACGTTATAATGTTCGTGGAACGGCGTGCAGCTAACCTGCCGACATATTCGCCCATTACCCCACACTTTTCAAGCGGACGCACATCAAGTCGTGTTGTGAAGACGCATCTGGCTATGAATTCTGGAAAAATTACTAATCCGTTAGCAGCACCTGACAGGGCAACTAATTGCCCATCTTGATGAACGCTGGGATCTGGTGAACCAGGCATCATTATGTTTCAATTGCCTCAAGGCCGGTCATCGTAATCGTGACTGTCCATCTGGGTTGTGTCTCAACTGCCAGCAGAAACACAATACTCTCCTATGTAGCAGACCCCACCAGAGAAGCGTTAAAGGCACTTCTACCAGATATACTCCTGGATCGTCGGTTACAGTCCAGTCATTCCTCTTGCAGGGTGACCGGACTATACTCTTAGCAACGGCAAACGTGCCTCTTGCTGATTGGAAAGGTCATTTAAGGGAAGGTCGCGCACTTTGCGATATTGGTTCTCAGGTAAGCTTCATTTGCGAATCATTAATAACTGTTTTGAATCTTCCTAGAAGCCCGTACGAGTGTCAAGTCGAAGGTATTGATCAAAGTCTTTCAACCCGTACAAAAGGCATTGTGCGAGTTAGTATGCAGTCCCGTGCGGATGAGAAGTTCAAGATCAGTTTTAATGCTTACATCATTGATTCAATCACGTCTATGACTCCTGCCACTACTATAGACATCAGGACCAGCCATCATTTAAATGGTCTTCGTTTGGCAGATCCGGCGTTCGGTATACCAGGTCACGTAGAACTACTGATTGGCGCAGATATTTGGCCTGCCCTTGTATTAAACGATGTTGTTGTCGGTTCTCATAACGAACCAAGCGCATTACACACTCGTCTCGAATATGTAGTGCTTGGTCCAGTAGCATCGAACGAGTCGAAACCAGTCTTACTTTCATCTCTTATGGACGTTCAAGATGATTCTACCACCGATAAACTTCTACGAAAATTTTGGAAAATCGAAGAACCTCCTGACAGCACCAAGGCAGAGGTGGACGAATGTGAAGAGATTTTCGCCAGAACGGTTACGCGACTTCCAAATGGTCAGTATATTGTACAGATCCCGTTTCGATTTGATGCACCTGCCCTCGGAAACTCACATCCGGCGGCACTTCGACAATTTTTGAAACTAGAGCGGATTTTGGCAAACGACTACGCACTGAGGGAGAAATACGTGGAATTCATGAGGGAATACATCAAGTTGGGATACATGGAGGCGATAGATGGTTCTCCAGATGGCATGGGAAGCTGTTATTACATCCCTCACTATGCTGTTACGACTAAATTCAGAGTAGTGTTTAAAGTAACAACCAACGGCGGTTACAAAACGGTACGGTATGGCAAGCAGTCTTTTTAATGCTATTAGAACATTGAGGCAGTGTGCCTATGATACTTGGGAAGTGATCGCTGACGTCAGCCGGGCAGCCGCAGCGCGGGACAGCATCCTTCATAGCTTTTATGTTGATGATTATTTGAAAAGTGCTCACACGACAGAACTGGCCATCAACCGTGCAAGCGACGTTGATGCCATTCTTCAACAAGGTAAATTTGAATTAGATAAATGGAACTCCAACTGCGTCCAGACCCTGGAAGGAATCAGTGGCTCTAAGGCGTCTGCATCGGAGATAAATTTTAGCGATTCCAGCACAACAGTATTGGGCCTACACTGGAATCCTATTACTGATACCTTATTTTTCAAGGTTAAGGTATGTAACTTTGACACAATTCCTACTAAACGGTGTTTTGAGTGATATTGCAAGGTTGTATGATCCATTGGTGATGCTGGCACCAGTTGTCATGACGGCCAAGATATTCGTTCAAAATCTATGGTTGGCGAAGTTGAGTTGGGATACGCCTCTACCATCTGATCTTCGTGAGACTTGGATGAAATACCGGAACAGCCTACAGGGTCTTGAAAATATCTAAATATCACGATGGCTAGGAATCAAGGAAAATTCTGTATCGACGCTGCATGGGTTTTGCGATGCGAGTACCAAAGCTTACGCAGCAGTTATTTACTTGCGGAATACCAGTGCTGACGGAACATGCCATACATCCTTGATTGCCGCAAAAACAAGAGTTGCGCCATTGAAGGAAATGACGATCCCTCGTCTAGAGCTTTCTGCAGCTCAACTATTAACATCATACGTCGTGCTTTGCAGTT